CTGATTTTTGTCTAAACAACTTTAAAAACGGAAATCAGACATAAACCACCCAGGACAATAACCACCCGGACGAAAACCACCCAAAATGGAATATACCACTGTTAATGTAGGGTGGGCAGTGGGGTGGACAATGTTGGGTGGGCATGTTTTTATCAGCTTCACAATAGGATAGATTACACTGCGAGTTATTATTATAATACGCCTTTAATTCATTCAACTTTTTTGACAACATGCATGTATGTTAATAATCATTGTAGATCTCAGTAATCACTGTGCTTAAAGTTTGTACTTTTTTAATGATTTTAACACAACAATTAACTTCAAATACTATTAATATTATCATAATGTATTTAAACTTTACTACAAATTTTACATTTGAATTTCCATAAACTTTGAACATTTTTTTATATTTTAGTATTCTAAACTTATTTAAATTTCCAAAAGGACATATCCCTACTTCCTTTAAAAATTATTACTTTCAATTAGATAGTTCCCGTTAATAATAATAATTTAAATGTAAAAAGTCATCCATTAATGAATGTAGCTTAATAAGATCTTACTATTTTATCTTTTTTTTATCTGTTTTCATTGAATTGTAGTAAAACCAGTATATTTCGTTGTGAATACTATAATATTAGACAAATACCATACCAAGAGAGAAAAAAAATGTTATTAATTTATTAAAACTTTACTAAAATATTCATTTCAAGAAAGGAAAATTGCCTTTAAATAGGCAATTATTTTATAGTGAATAGTGTTCCATCCAATTTCTTATTATTGTAGTAAATATTTTTTTTATGATGTATAGTAGGCCTATATTATTACATACAGCTGTTATCTTCTTTAATATAAATGTAATATGTAATTGTGGAATTGTAGTATAATAAATGTACTCTATTTGTTATAGAGTACAGTATTTAATTAGATTGTATTCACTATTATGAAAATAAATTGGTTTACTACTAAATTACTGTTTCTGTCTCTTATACACATCTAGATGTGTATAAGAGACAGTAATACGCCTTTAATTCATTCAACTTTTTTGACAACATGCATGTATGTTAATAATCATTGTAGATCTCAGTAATCACTGTGCTTAAAGTTTGTACTTTTTTAATGATTTTAACACAACAATTAACTTCAAATACTATTAATATTATCATAATGTATTTAAACTTTACTACAAATTTTACATTTGAATTTCCATAAACTTTGAACATTTTTTTATATTTTAGTATTCTAAATTTATTTAAATTTCTAAAAGGACATATCCCTACTTCCTTTAAAAATTATTACTTTCAATTAGATAGTTCCCGTTAATAATAATAATTTAAATGGAAAAAGTCATCCATTAATGAATGTAGCTTAATAAGATCTTACTATTTTATCTTCTTTTTATCTGTTTTCATTGAATTGTAGTAAAACCAGTATATTTCGTTGTGAATACTATAATACCAAATACCAAATACAAATACCATACCAAGAGAGAAAAAAAAATATTATTAATTTATTAAAACTTTACTAAAATATTCATTTCAACAAAGGAAAACTACAAATGCCTTTAAATGGGCAATTATTTTATAGTGAATAGTGTTCCATCCAATTTCTTATTATTGTAGTAAATATTTTCTATGATGTATAGTAGGCCTATATTATTACATACAATTGTAATCTTCTTTAATGTAATTCAATTAAGCACTGTGTATGTCACTTTTCGAATCAAAACAGATAAAAAGATAAAATAGTAAGATCTAACTTACATTCATTGATGGATGTTTTTGGTAAAAAATCACAAAAAATGCTATATCGAAAACCAATAGTCATAGACAGCTGAATTATGTATCAAACTGATGGCAAAAACATGGTGTAAATTGGCAAAAATAGAGAAATTTATAATTTTTTAATAATAACAATAATAATAATAATAATAATAATAATAATAATAATAATAATATTTCAGTCTTTGCCAACTTCCACCATGTTTATGCTATCTTGTTAACCACTTATCATAGAAAGCTAAATTATGTGTCAAACTGAGGTCAAGGACCATATTTATATTTAATATAATAAAAGTCTTAATCATAAACAAATCCATCGGTTAGAGCATGCGCAAATTAGGTTTTTCTTTGTGATCGATTCAACTTTTCGCAAACAACGCAAAGACGATCGTTGAGTAGCACCAATGTTGCGTTGCATTGCCAAGTTTGTGTAGTCGGTTCCCAATTGGTAGCTGCAGACCCCTCAAGTTGTGTCACTTTGCGTTGATACGTTGCGTCTGCATCGTTGCGTTGCGTCCTAGTGGGAACCAAGCTTTATATCATTTTCTGTTGATATTATCATCCCTTATTTTTTTCCATTTATTGTTTTTACAGTGTACAGTACTTGTATTTTTGACCAAGACCTTTAATAATAATAATAATAATAATAAACATTTATATAGCGCCAATTCAAAAATTTATCAAAGGCGCAGGAGAAAACAAACTCAGTAACATTTCTCAAAAAGGTGAAACTTTAAATTCTTCTTAAAAGAATATAAATTAGGCGAATTACGAACAGAAAAAGGAAGAGAATTCCACAGAGAAGGAGCTTAAACAGAAAAAGCACGTTGACCATATGTTTTGGTTTTGTTTCGAGGAGATGGAACTGTCAAAAGACCTTTCATCCATGACGCTTTGTTTATCCCTGGCCTCTTAACTCCATTCTGTTTATATTTTGTTTATATTGCTCATTTGCATAATTTGAAGGGTCAGCTTGATCCTGTGATTTTTACTTCATTCACCTAATGAAGCTAACTCAAGCTTGTGTATCAATAAATTTTGTTGTCTTAAGAAGGTGCTACTGTACTCATTTCATTTGTATTTTATGCTATAGACTAATAATATGGCTCCTACTTTTATTTCTTCTTTTGGAGGTTTTGTGTAAGTAAATGAAAAATTTATGTAAAATAAGCTTGTGTTTAACTGTATTTAGTTAAAAATGTTGGCCAATTCTTCTGAACAATAATCATTGGATGGACACGAAACATGAAGCTAAGATATGTTTTACAATACTACGGTATTTATTTTAAATTGAACAGCATACATGAAAAATGCTTAGAGCAATTAAGAAGAGCTACACACTAAGTGAGAACAGATACCTCGTGTTTACTATAATATAATTTGTTAGTCTTAAAAAAAAAACAATACAATCATTGCTCAGTTTTATTTTCCCTCCCCAACATTGCATAATTTTTAAACACCCTTAATACATATATTAAAATATTTTGTGTATAAAATTCTTAATATGTGCAGGCATTTCTCATTCACAGAAAAATAATTTAAAATTATAACTTACAAAACCGCATACAAATTGATGCAAACTGTTTTTATGAAAATATTAGAATAAATCCAAATGCTCAAGTTTTTTACAATTTGGATACTTCAATCTCTTTTGTCAACACATTATTTACGTATATCTAAAACATTGAGTTTAGGAATGCCTTTTAAGCGAATAATCCATGGTAGAAAATTAAGTATTTTTGAAAAGATAAAACACCAAAGAGTGTAAACATACTAATCAATTAGGCTTCTTTTTCTTAAATCATTACATTATAAATTGTATCAATTTCAATTTAGTGAATGAAGTCGAAGTAATAACCCATGAAGATATGTTATCATTTTCTCATACCTTCAAGCTACAGTTGGCCTAGTAAGCAATATTTTCTGGTACTAAAGTTTTTTGTTCCAATGACAATGAAAATACTATAAAATATTTTATTTTCTATAAAATACCTACATTATCTATAGAATTCCATTTCAATGCATATTTAGCTTCAGACTTAGCACGTTTCACCTCTATCGTTCAATATACATATCAATTTTGGTTTGCTATGTTTTACTGGTCAGATACCTCGCTCATCTAGCTTCAATCATATAAAATATAGAATTAGTTAAAGTCAGCGCATCTTCTGAAATATACAATACTTAAGTACATTGATTTAATTTGTGTTCATATTGAAGAAGCAACACAAAAGGGGAAACTACCACACATTTCTGGAACATGATCATTGTAAAATTAGACATTAATAAGTAAGACAAATAAAAAAATAAAAATAAACCACAAATCCCTCCCACAAAAAAAAAGACGGCCTTGGGTGTTTGGAAATAGGTAATCTGTTTAGCTTTCTTCATGATTTGACTAAAGTAGTTGCTAAGGTAAGCAACTAATTGGTTCAACAAAACAGTAATTTTCTACCGCAAATTCCTTATTTCTCTGAAATATATTGTTCATATAAAACTAAATTTGTTAATCATGGAATAAACTGATGATGATGTAATGATGATAATGATGATCTGATTTAAAAAAGCCCAAAATGAAACAGAAACAGTGGTGTTAAGACACCACCATTTAAATGAATTTAAATGAAAACTGCATCCTTTTGTAATTAGTTTTAAAAAATTAATTAAAAAAACCTATATGGCAACTGTTATTGTTGTTGTTATTAGTGGTGTGGTCCTCGGACATAATGGTCTATAGTAGCCTGACCCTCAGTCATTTTAAGCACCCGTCCATCCATAAGGCATAAATGATAATCTTCCAAACATCATCTGTTGTTGTAGTTGTGTGTTGTTGCTGTTGTTTTATACATTCACACATAGACATGAGAAGATTCACATGCAACATGAATAATATAAACTCGATAACTATAAATTCATGGTTACAACAATCATACATTATACTCATACACATGAAATATCAAGCCCATAAAATATACAATATGTACACAAAGCACAATGTATGCAAATATATGGTTTGCATTACCATAAACCATATAAATATAAAATTTAAATGAATTTATATATATATAATTAATAT